ATATAAAAGGAAGGAAGGAAGGAAGGAAGGAAGGAAGGAAGGAAGGAAGGAAGGAAGGAAGGAAGGAAGGAAGGAAGGAAGGAAGGAAGGGAAAAATTCCTAGTAATGCAAGAATTGCATCAACCCAACCTGTATCTTGGGCCAAATGGCGGGGAACAGATAGTAAGCAGAATTTATGAAATGTCAATGATTTTCCCACTGATCTGGAAGGCAATTCTGCCATGGAACTCAGAGATGACCTGGGCATTAGATGAGATGGCTAGCAAGCTGCCTTTTCTGGTCATTGATCCTGAAGCACTCATTGCTAATCAAAGGAATTTTGGGAGATGAACTGAAATACTAAGAGCATTGGTGGTAGAAGAGAAAGAACTAATCTGACCCAGCTACAAATTGACCCATGCCCAAATTTGGGACTATATAGTGGAGATAAGGGTGGCAAAGCAGATTTTATTTCTTGGCTCTTATTGTGTCCACAGATTCTTGTTTAGTGGTTTTGAGATTACCCACATCCTTTTGGGAAAAGCAAAGGGAAAATGTTCTTACAGTCCACTATGACATGTTTGCTAGATTCTTTGTAGATAAAATTATTCACATTTGCTTCAGATTGGTTGCCAGTTGGGCAGAGTCTAGTGATATGACTGGGACATTGTCTCAGGGCGTTATTTAGGACTGTTTTGAGGTTGTAGAGTTTGAGATTAAAAGGACAACATGAGCTCTGTCACCTCTTGGTTGCACCAGTGCCCCACTTGGTTCCTTTGGGCAGGCTAGTAGGATGTGCAACTGAATTTTGAAGGTGATCAATGCCTCTTTAGTAAAAAAGGTGATGCAGAGCTGCTGAATAAGAGTTCTAAGAATAAAATGTTAAAAATGCAAGTGATATAAGTATGCCTATCATTAAAAAGTGCCTTTAAAGAGGAAAGGAAACTAACCCAGACGACTTTTTTCATAGTTTGCCCATATTGCAACTCTTTCATCTTTTTACCTCCATTAAGCAATTTAAAAAAAATCCTAATCAGTGGATAGGTTGGCAATGAGAGAGAATGTTTTAATTAAGAAAAACAAACAAACAAACCCTTTCTGTAGAAACAGAAGTTGCACAGCAGGAATTTCTCCTTAAGTGAGCTTTGAACTACTGCCCACCCCATGATTTCTTTTGTTTTGAACTTTGTTTGACACCAATTGTGTTATCTGTAGTTAACTTGCATGCAGTGCTGCAAAGCACTATAGCAACTATTGTTTGCCATTCTGTGTGCAGGGAGAGAGAAAATATGTTCTTTTCTATGGTAATGAGTGCTAGATAAAAAAACAACAACAGAATGTATTCAGTCTTGTTTTTTGGAATATATCAGCCACAAATGTGTGAAGAAATCAAGCAGATGCCAAAAAAAAAAACAGAAAAAAAAACAGAAAAAAAAACCCCTATCTATCAAAATAGACATAAAGATATTGTACTAGAAATTTGAGTCAATCAAGAGAGGAAAAAAGATTCTGAGGGTATAAGAATCAAGTTCAAAGAAAGAATCATTAGTACTGTGCTAAGAAGCAGCTTACAGTTTCCCTAAAGAATTCCCCACCCCCACCCCCAGCACAGGGATTCCTATTCTGAAGTTGTTCTTGAACTTACTTGATCATTGAAGGATGTGTGAAATTGTTGAATTGGTGAAATTCTTCAGCTATTGAAGGATTTACCACATCATGTCTTCTCCTGGGATTTAATTCAAATGAGGGAAATCTGGCAGACTGTCCTACCAAACAGTTGACTGTACAATAAAGGCTAAGATACCCTTCGAAAATTCTTGACCATTTTGCAGCTAAAATAATCACAAGAATCCCAACTAAAAGAACAATAAGAATCATGACTATTTACCTAAATGTTCATCTCCTTTGAAAATTATTTCAAAGCAATTTCCTTTATAGGAAATTGAATAATTGAAAAAAAAATCCAGAACAAATTTTGGCACTGCAGTAAATTCGACTGATTGTATAGAAGTTGTAATATTGCAGAAATGTAATTGCAGAAGCTAGGTTGTATACATCAGAAATAGAGTTGGCTGAAGCACAGCTAGTCACTCATCCTTTTATCTATTAAATAAAGCCTCCAGAATATGTTCAAGGGCCATAATCAGATGTATTTAAAGCCAATTTGTATTCTCCCAAATAGATTGCCAGAGATTTAGGTGTGTACTTTGAAGAATGTTGGAATAGCCTATTGCCTATTAATCCATTAAATCTATTTGATTCTTTAATTTTTGTGGAAATGATTGGTCCCATAAGTAAGTAAAAAATTATTGCCTTATGTTTACCTGATATTAGAGGTAACTACTGTAATATCATTGCTCCTGTGCAAGAAGATCCTGTTATCTTGAGTAAAACTATATAGCAAATCCATCTTTAATGTCCGTAACTTTGAAAAATGTTGAATTTATTTACTCCAGTGGAATTCCCAAAAGTTGTGATTTTTAAATTGCTACATTTTATACTCAGTGAATATCACTAGCAAATTTTGAGTTATGCACCCTTAGGGAGTGGTGCATTGTGCCTAAAACATCTGGCTGGTTTGCTTTTCTGTTCAAACATGTTTTTGGTGAAATTTTCTATGTAACATAGAGCAAGATATAGGAAATCTTATAGAGAAGATATACAAATAAAGACCTCTCTGGTGGTAGCTTCTATAATATGAATTAAATATTCATTAAATCTATATAGTAAGAGAACAAGGTTACAATTCCATACCTATTTAACTAGGAATAAGCCTCATGTATTACAGAAATATGCAAGATTGTATTATCCAGATGTTTCAGTGAATAACTATACAGACAGCATGGCTAATAGTGTGGATTATAAGAGTTATATTCCAAAGCATCTAGACAGTTCTTGGTTGTAAATAGCTGATGAGCAGAACGGTGATTTGATGGTAGTGGTTAGCTTTGGGACAAGTGAATGGCTAAATTATTGTGATTCCAGAGAAGGAAAGAAGATTGCAAAGTAAATATTTACATGAGAGTCTACAGATGAAAGAAAAACGGGGCTCAGAAACCATTAGCCTAAGAAAATTCAAAGGATTAGGAGAAGTCCAGATTGTTAAAGAGCATAAAGAAGAATGAAAAGAATAGTGTGACCTGAGATTTTTTTTTTTTTTAAATAGAAGATTGAATAAAAAAACACATAATGGTATGCCACTATGATTGGTCATGGTGTCTGGGAATTACAGTTTCAACACATTTAGGAGACATTAGATTGATACCATCTGATATAATAGTTTGATACATTTTGCAAAATTATACAGAAAACTATCATGTATGTTGTATAACAGTTCACCATGTATGTTTCTGTTGGCTTTTTTTTTTTTTTTTTTTACAAATGTCAGAGTTTGAGCTCTTTAGAGAAAACATGGAGTGGAAAAGTGATTTTAACATGCATATAAATAAAGCCTACTTTATAAAACTTAACAGAGGAATTGGTGAAATCTGTTTGGATGACTGCAATGCACTCTACATGGGTCTGCCCTTGAAGACCATCTGGAAGATACAACTGGTCCAGAATGCAGTGACACATGCAGTTTTGGGTACCCCACAGTTTACTCAAGTAACAGCACTGCTGTGTGAGCTGCACTCACTTCCAGTTGCTTTCTGAGTGCAATTCAATATGCTGGTTATCACCTTTAAAGCCTTACATGGCACAGGGCCAGGTTATTTGCAGGACTGCCTCTCCCTGAGGATGTCTGCCTGTTCTACTAGGTTAGATAGGGTGCTCCTAGCTCAACCCCAATCCTAGCCCAATGCTTGGGGGCTGTGAGGACCGGGTTCTTCCCCAAGCATTGGGCTAGGATTGGGGTTGAGCTAGGATGCTATTGGGTCAGGCACCTGGGGGAAGGGTACTTCTGTTTTTATCTCTGTTTTTATGGATTGTTGTGAGCCACCTAGAATAACTTTATGAGATAGGCAGCCATATAAGTCCTGTAAATAAATAAAAATTAAATCCTTTTGCTAAGTAAAATGTTCTGTTCAGGTTATATTTTTAAGCAACCACACCTAATTGATCTTTCCTGGATGACCACAGTAATTGGAACAAAGTTACGTCTCTGATTCTATATTTCTACAGAGTTTGCAGTTCAATTCATGGCTCAGAATTGCATACAAAACATTATAGGTCAGGGAAAGTTATATATAAAATGTATAGGTTGAGAAGGTCAAATATGAAAAATAATGCAGTTTTTTATGTTCATTTTTAGCAATACAGAAAGCTGCAGATATTTGACATAATAGACTTATGACTGAGTAAATGAAAAACTGAAAAGGATCAGAGATAGATTGATCTGTAAATACATAGTGCTACAGTAAGGGATTTATCAAAGAGAGAAACATCTGAATGAAATCTACACTGTAAAAAGGAGACAACAGCATTGATTTTGTAATAGGAACTGTGAATTTAAATAGAATTTAATAGGGATAGACACTGTGGGAATGATCAGAAGCTAGGAATGTTTATACTTCTGAAATGTTGTCCCAGTTACTTTTGTTTATTCTTTGTGATATGAGATCTATTGTATTTCTCCCACATCTAATTATTCTAATTCATAAGGAACACCAATAGATGCCTATGACATTCACAGAATTTATTCCATATTTATGCTGGAATAAATGCAGTATTAATTGCAATCCATCTATTTGTTGTAACTACTTCATGCTGCTGGTATGAAGTCACATTAGTGCTCTGACAAATACAGAGGATATGGAAAGAAAGTGAAATACAAACAAACGTAAGCCCAGTTCTAACTCAACAACTATGCCATAACTTTTGGGTAGGTGTAGTGATCTGGTATCTTCTCATCCAGTCCCTATTACCCACTTAAATTCTCTTTGGAGTCATAAAATTCTCTTCGGTGAAGCAAGGTGACAATGAGCTCATCGCCACATGCCTTTTATGTGTGAATGAGTCATTGTGGATTTAGCAACATTAAGAGGCAAGTCATACACATACATAGGTGAACCCGCTCTTTATTTACACCGCATAGTTTTTTTAAAAATGTGATAATGATGGGACTTATATCTTTTGCTTAAAAATTGTCCTTATTTTTTTAAAGACATTTGGCTTTCAATATGTATGTATGTGGCTTTGAGTAGTGATTACGTAAAAATGAATGAAATGGTCTTTGCAAAATCATGGCCTCATACTACATGTTGAAGAACTGGAGAGCAAATAATCTTGTATACCTGTGAATCATTTGCATTTTCCCCAGGTAATTTTTATATTTATCATTCCAAACTATCCCTGCAGTGAAAAGAGGAAAATGTAACAACTAGGATAAGTAGCAAGTCATTTTTACTTTAGCACACTCTGCTTATTCTTAATGTGAGGGATGCAGCAGTCATTTAAATGAATTTTCCTTCTGGAACATTTTCCTTCAGTGTTGAGACTGAGCAAGATCTTTGTCTTCTTCACATCCAACATCTGTTGAGTAAACGGTTGGAGAAAAGCCATTGCAAATCTGCCAAAGAGCTTACGTTGGGCTGCCAGCATCTGTGCAGCTTCTGCTTCTTTCACTCCTTTAAGATTAGGATGTATAAACCTGACAAATCTGCATGCCAGGGCTTTTAAATAAAGAAACACATAAATTAAACTTTAAAATGCCAAAACTCACCATAGAAGAGCTGAGTAAATTTCAAAGCCTGGTAAATAAATACATCTTGGAAGCAGAGCAGCTGAAATGAAGTTACTCCTCTAGTTCTCTTCCAAGATCCAGTTTCAAAAGAAGCAACTCCTAAGATGCTTTAGCTTTTTACATAATGCATATGCATAGATCTGTATCAGTAACTTCAGAAACAAAGATTCTAGAACCCTTTCCACAGGCAGATTACAATTATAGTTGACTATAAATGTCTTCCCCACAATATTGGCATCTTTTCCCATCCCTGCTTCTGACCTTGGTGGTTCAGCAGCAAAAGCTGAAATAGGGATGGATGAACCTGTCATTTTTATTTGTCCCACCTTCATTTTAAAAAAAAAAAATCTCAGGTTTCCACTCATGAAGAAATGTGTCCATTTTGGTAAGCTCTTATGTAAATAAAAGGGGAAAAATGAAATTCTTACCCATCTGCAATGTCTGAATACCTTAGGAAGAGCTGTTCCCAACATAGAGGCTGTGGTGTACATTTCTGCCATGTAGCTTTAAAAAATAAGGAGCCTGTTGGGAAAGGGAAGTGGAAACCCAAATGAGCATCATAGACATGGCTGAAATCAAATGAATTGAAGCCTTGAATTTTAAGAATAAAACATTACAGCATCATAGAATTGTGGAGTTGGAAGGGACCATGAGGATCATTTAATTCACCTCTCTGCAATGTGCAGAAAAGCCAATTAAACAATCCTTGAGAAAAACCTCCAAAGATGGTGAATCCACAACCTCTGTGGGTAAACTGTTCACTGTTGTTCAGATCTTACCATCAGGAAGGTTTTCCTTATATTTAAAGGAAATCTAGGTAGCTGCAACTTGTACCCATTATTTCTGGTCCTAGTTTCTATAGCAATGGAAAATAGTTCCTGATCATCTTCCCCATAGCACCATTTTGTGTAACTGGACACTGATATTGGGTCTTCCTTCAGTCTTCTTTTCTCCAAATGGAACATCCCCAGTTCCTTCAGCCTTATTCAGTCCCCTGTATCATTCAGATTCCTTCAGCCTCATTCAGGTCCCTTTGTCACTCTCCTCTGAACCAATTTTAACCTGTCAAACCTTCTGGAAATATGCTGCTGAGAATCATACACAGTACTCCAGGTGCAATTATTATTTCATACTCTGTGGTCAAGCAGCCTTTATATTTGCACTGCTAATATTTACAGTGCAAATGTTATGTGTGTGAAGTCAATAGATAGCTGTACTGTGATCAATGGAGCCTATTTCCCAATAAGTCTGTATGGGATGATAACTCTAGTTTTTTATCCTTATCTTTAATCCAGAGTCCCATCCAGTGATGAGGCCTATTGGTAGTTGAAATGCTTTTGGAAAATGGCTACTTTGTTATTGTGAGGTGACCAGTGTAATAGCATTGTAAATCAGCAGGGTAAGATAAGAAGAGTAAAAGAGACATTAAAAAAAAAAAGGAAAGGAATTTTGTTATAAACAACTGTTTAAAAGGAAGTGCACGAATTTTACTTTTCTTTATCATGGCCAAAGTTTAAAAAGATGTGTTTTCAACTTTAGATGCATATTTATGAAAATATGACTATAGTTTAGAAGGCATTAGGTACATATTAGTTCAATTTCACACTCAAAATGAACAACTATAAATTCATTTCTCTTTTGACTGTACAGATACAAAAAGGTTAATTATTATTAACAATCGCTTATATTTACTTAGGTGATGAATATGAATAAAAAAGAGGATTTTGCTGTCAGGGCTCACCTTAGTCATCTGGTTTAGACAAGATAGGAATCTAAACTTCTCCTACTCAGACCTTGACTAGACCTTAGAGGTCCAAGTAGGGTGGGTGGCAGCCCTCCTCATGATGGTTTTGTGAATAATCAAGCTGTTTCCCAAAGGATAAGCTTTTGTCCAAAACAGATAATTTTTTTCTAATAAACATCCAACCATTGTGATTTTTTTCTCTTTTTTGTACTCTATGATTTATTTACTTTCTACCTTATATGCTAAATAGCGTCACCGTTCTTCTTTTGCACTTGGGGTCCATCTTATTACTTCTCCTCATTCTTCTCTTCCATAAATTTGATATATGAGTTCCCATGGGTTGTTGCTGGGATGCTTTGCAGTCATATTTTCCTTTCTTCTGTCTCAATAATATTCAGCAAATGTAGCACATGGTATCAACTCAGCCCTTATTCTTTCTCTCTTAAATCAATCACTCATGGAATGAATGGGAGAAAACAAATGGAAGACAAATGCTAAAGATTAGATTGGGGAAATGAAATGGACATTAAAACTTAAGTGTGAGTAATCAACAATGCATTTGATCAAAAATAGCTTTTTAAATAGCAACTCTTCTTGCTACAAAGAACATTAATGAAGCAAAAAAAAAAGTAGTGCAGTTGAATTTAAATGTATCACTCTATTATTTTAATATATTTATTTGGGGTTAACAACTCATTGAGCACCAAATTGCTCACTTTTAATAAGTCCCTGATGTTAGAAATGAGCTGCCTAGAATTACAGTAAAATAACAATTGAAAGGCAGAAGAAAGTAATAAAAATATAAGTAAGCAGCGTTGCACACTTGAGAATGGGAGCAAAGTCCAATGTTAGAAGCGAGGGATAGTGTGGTTGACAGGCTACAACTGTACAAATGTCAGAGTGCTTTGCTGTAATGGAAATAAATAATGACATCGGTGTGTCTGTGTCTGTGTGTGATTTTTAAATTTGGCAATAGATAAATTTGCAAGTGTTGAATATGCATCCTTTCTGGGATTACTTTAATTGGTTTTAGTGGACTATTAAGTATTGCTTTTATCTTTAGCAATCATATATAATATTAGTAGGCCTATGGCCTCCATTGCCCTATTTTGCAAATGTATTATCAGTAAACCGCTGATCACTGACAGTTAGCACCATAGGCTTACAAACTGAGCAAACAAGACAGAGGTATCCTATCTTTCAGGCTATACATTTCAAAGTACTGGATTTTACACTGTTACTGACATTGCTAAAGACAACGATAAATGCTCAGCAAAAACCAGACACTCTATCATCCACCCACCACATTAATGGAATGTAAATAAGAAGAAGTAAAATGCAAAATCCTATTAAAAAATCCCAAACTAAGTTCACTAGCATTGAAGGCTGTTCAGGGGAAGTCACAACCTTCAAATCATACAGTTCCAGTTGACATGAAGGAATGCCATGGCATAATGATCTTATATTTTGGCAATTTTCCTCTTCAGAATTGCCATCCACTAACCCCTGGCAGAAAAAGAAGATTTCCTGTTCTACCACCTTCTGTCAGATAAGAAGGACCTGGCCTTAGCATTTCAAGCAGAAGCCATCTATTTTTCAGAATAACAGATCAATATGGCCCAAAACATAGCCAACTATACTGCAACTTCAATTAAAGGGAACAACTCTGAGCTAATACGTCTGGTTTGTACTTAGCAGGCTTATCAAAAGAAGTCCTTCTTTTGGCAGTGAGGCCTGTTCAGTGTTATGTTTACACCGTACTGCAGTGTTTGTCAACCTCAGCAGCTTTAAGGTGTGTGGACTAACTCCCAGTATTCCCCAGCCAGCATGCTAGTTGGGGAATTCTGGGAATTGAAATCCACATATCTTAAAGTTGCCGAGGTTGACAAACACTGCCATAGTGCTCCAAAAAAACATGGCTTTTGTGTGTTGAGGGCCATGTATTGGTACTTTCCACAGTTAAGCAATCTCCTGTCACAGGAAGGGCAACTCCTACATCTAGATCTCAATTCCCTTCACTTTATAGCAAGGCTAGTACAGCCCATCTTTCAAAAGGATATAGCTAAAGGTATGGAAGACCCGGAGAAAAGGTCCTGTCCTACAGCATTCACCTGACCTCTAAATAATGGTTCAACTACGGTGAAATTAGCACCATATTCCAGTAACTTCTGTGAATAAAGAAAAAGGGACTTGTTCTGTCTTCCATCAAGGTACATATAGTAGTGTTCGGAATAACATGTGCACACTTAAGCAATATTAAACACGATCTTATTTCTTAATGAAAATGTTCTTAAAAGATCTAATAAACCTGCAGAAAAAGTAGTCTCCTACAAGTTTTGCTGTACTCTTGATCACTTTATGAAGTTCATGAATTTTTCCTGGCAGTAATATGAAAGTGGTTTGCTATATTGCCTTTTTCAAGGAGATTTTTTTTCCAGTTTCCCAGGATAGTCTACAGCCCAGATCTATTCAGCTACTAACCAGGCATGATTCTGTTTATCTTCTAAGCCCAAAAAAGTTGGACAGCTCCAACTTCACAGTGGAATTTTTCAGTTAACCTATCCTGCCTATTCACAAAGTCTCTCAATCCACTAGTAACAATCGATTTACATCTCATATCTTTCAACGTGGAACTCCTATTCTATCAGCAGAGTAGCAATAAGATCACCCAGAAGAGTTGGTGAGCTACTCGTACTCAGATGATTTACCACCTTTTCTTTGGCTTTTTAAATAGACAAGTTAATTCTCTGACTAGATTTCACTTTCTTACCAGATTTATCATCAGAATTTCACAAAACCAACCCCACATATTACTTTTGTTTTCCCCAACTATCTTTTTCATTATTGTTCCTTCAGTCAGTCTTAACTCTGGGTAACTTCATGGACAAGTCCCTGCAGTTTTCTTAGCATCCCTTTTCAAAAGCAGTTTGCCATTGCCTTCTTCCTAGGACTGAGGAAAAGTGACTTGCCAAAGTCACCCAGCTGGCTTCATGTCTAAAGCATAGCTAAAACTCACAGGCCCGGTTTCCAGCCCAGTGCTTTTAACCACTACACCAAACTATGTCTCCTTAACTATCTACATAGTTGGGTTTATCACTGCATAAATGCCAAGGGCCTGGCATTTTATACTGATTATACTAAATAGTTCCACAATTACCAGCAACTGTTTATTTGCTATGTGAGATTAAGAAAAGGCATGCATGTTTGCTAATTGGGGTAAGGAAACCATCATATTGGATACCAACTAGCCAAGCTTTTTCCACCAAGGGAACATTCTGTATTGGCAGTGTTGCTCCAAGGGCTACATTTCCTGACCTCTGCAACATCTGCCAGTACGTGTTAGCGCTGCACTATCAGCGTGACATCAGAACATGAGTGAATGCGAGATCTGACCTTGAATATATATAAGGGGTTTTATCTTTCTTCATTTTTTTTTGTTTTCCAATAATTTTTCTTTAAGTTTAAGGATTGTTTCATTGAATTGTGTTTTTATTTAGTGTATTTTGGTATTTTGTTAATACTTTGAAAAATAGCAAAAAGAAAAAAATCTGTGTTGTCCTCAATACTCAATTAGCAATACCTAACAGTTCCTAACAGTAAGCCTGCTAATCTTCCATACGTAAATATACAGATGAACCAAAGTTACAGACAAGCAACCTGCTGTTTTCTATAAAGTATTTGCATTCTCAGCAGGTGGGACATGCGTGCAAGGTAGGAAATCTTTTTATTTACACATAGCAAAAAAAATCAAGTTATGATTCTTGTTATTTTCATTATAGTGAAACCTTAGGACCTTGTTTTGGTTTTGCTAGTAATAGATAATGAGGCCAAGATGTAAATAATTGGAATTAGAGGTAATAAATGAAAGAGAGGGAAAGGTTAATACTTACTTAATCATTTAGAGCAGGCTTCTTTAACTTGGCATTCTCCAGTTGCAGATTTTTGAAAGCACAGCTGATACCACACTGGAATGGAAATAAGCTTCTCTAGCATCAGGCCTGGTGTATTTACTCCCTCCTCCTCCTCCTCCTCCCCCCTCTTCCACAATCCAGATACATGTCAGAAGAACAGAAGGGTTTGGCATATGAATCTATCATCAATCACTCCTAGAAGCATTTTTTCCTTATCAGGCCTCAGAGTCTTGAAGATAAAAAGAGCCATGGTAGAAGATCATCGCACTTCCCCATTTCTCGGAACAACTCTCCTTCTCTACCTGTGGGCCTGCCTTTATCTGGGCAGAGATGGAATTGTGTTAAGTGTAATATCCCCTGGGAGGTTGCATAGGAACCACAGAATTGCAAGCTTAAGTATCTCAAGTGAAAATTTTCCCTCTGAGAAACAAATATAAAAACTTTATCATCAGCATAGAAAAGTATTTTCTGATGATTAGCAGGTATCTTCCTCTCTTCCCCCTCCACCTTGCTCCACCCCTTAGAAGCATCCTAGAGATTTCCTGCTGAGGTTCTGATGGAAGACAGAGAGATATCCAGCAGGATGTAGACATTTGCTAGAAATGTAACTGCTAGTTTAGAACACTAGATATTTCTATCTCTATATATAGGTTAGGTACCTTTTTTCAGGGCTTGCATTATCTTTTTGTTTCTTTTTTTCTGTTCCCCAATAGTCCTTGAAGCCCTACAGATCTGACCATGTATTCTAATTGTATGGAACAGTAACTGGTCTGTTATAAAATGAATTTCTTGACATGCATCAGTAAAAAAAAATCACAGAAATAAAGTGGGTGGAGTGAATTCTTACTTTCTTTTTGTAACTGGTTTCCAGAATACTGAACATTTTGTATTAACCTCCTTATTAGAATCTGCATTCTAATATCTCATAATGTGCTATATGTATGCTTATACATGCAGTAATTTGAAAGATAGTGAATCATGCTGCCTGGCTATAGATGGAGAAGGGAATGATAGTACGTATATAAATGTAAGTTAATCATTTACATTTGGGTCATTGTGTAATCAGGTGGAATTAGACTAGCCAATCAAACCTAACTCTGTAATAATTTCAATACCATTGAATATCGGTATTGATAGAATTGTTGTATCTATCAAGCAACATGAAGAAAAGGCACTACATAGAATTATGCTGTATCTTTTTGCAAATGCAGAAGTTACTATCACTGGTCATTACTGGCCTGAATAATTGCAACATTCTGTTGGTAACGTGCCAGATATCACCCAGGGTGGGGTGGGGATAGGATCCAGTAGGTTGGCTGGCCCTAGGAATAGGCATAAAACATCAACCAGAAGATAGATCTGCTCCATAGAATCTAGCCGCAGAAGGCATTCCCCAGCACTTCCCAGCTTCTGCTGTTTTCTTTCATTTGCCCTGGACAGGTGGTACATTTTAAAGTAAAGCACTTGGCTGTAGCCAACAATTTTTTTTAAAAAAGTCCATGTGAAGCCTAGATGGAGTTAGTGGCAGGGGAAGATGATGGTGATCCCAGGGATGGTTGTTTTTGTTTACAACTAACCAGTTTCCCTTTTTTAAAACGTTTAAAAGAATTTGCTTTAAAAATGACCCTGAAATTGAGTAGAAAAATTGTCTTATGGAGGAAAAAAGTATGAGAAGCTTAATTATTTTTACTTCTTATTTTTTATGAGGATTTTGATTACAGAAGTGCATTATAAAATTCAGAGATATTTTGCAAGATAACTGAAGTCTCCCTTGATAGGAAAACCCACTGAATTTAACCAGACTCATTTGAAATTATTTAAGATAAAATAATTACTTGAGATTAACTGTTAGGATTACTAACTCTTCATTTATAGAATTATTCTGTGAGCTGTCAATCATCAGTTCCTATTGCAAATATCACCTTCTGCCAGTTGTCGTCTTCTTCACTTAAATACTTGTAGATGCTCATTGTGATAGTTCATTCATTCACAGTTTTGCAGTGGACTCTGGATACTATATTTATAGGTTGCAAGTGAGAAGGATTTTCTTTGAAAGTTTACCAGATGAATTAATGGAGACAATATAGGATATGTTGTGGGACCCATAGCACACTCATCAAGAAAGGTGATGAATATATTTCCTCAAGGAGGAAAAAATGCTTTGTTTCCTCTTTTATAAAGCAAATGATTTTAAAAAGCTCAGTTTATTTGATTATGTTTAACATTTCTCTTGTATGTTGTTGTGTGAAATATATTCCCACCTGAAACATTTCTTTAAACATTGCCATTGTTTTAATATTCCTAAAGAAAATGCTAACTTGCAGTTAATATACAATTAGAGACAGGAATTATAGCTAATTCCTTAAGCCACATGTGCTATTTTTCTCCATAATCTGTACAAGTTTCTCTACAAATAGATAAACTTGCAAGAAAAATGTGTTCTTGCCTCTGTTGTAATTTACTTGTAACAAAGTTGAATTCTGTTTAACTTACAGGAAACTGTTTAGCAAACATTATCTATATTAGACAGGTGTCTATTATTCCCTTATTAATTTTGCAGATATTTCCATGACTTTGGCAAATTACTTCATATTTTCAGATCTTATTATGTTTTATTAAATACTATTCATATTTGCAAATTTTATAAAGATAGATGTTATTGTATATATTTGATTATATGTTTGTTTCAATATTAGCATTAATGTACATTATTTTCTATTTATTTAAAAGCACACAGATTCTCCCTCTCTCTCCCATTACAAAAATATGCAGTTTTCTTCTTAAATATATGCGTGGTAGGAAGACAAAATTGGATTTTTTTTTATGTAGAAAATGCATACATTTCCCTAAACGTTATTGGTGAGTTTACTTGTGCAAACAGGGAGGGCTATTCTTAAGCTACTTTACAGTTTGGATATTCTATAGGAACCTGCACACTGCTATTTTCTTTTTCTCAGTTTCATGATAAACAATCAGAAGATCTCAGTAACTTTCACATCTTCTTTCTATACTTCCAGATCAGATAAAAAATTGGAAATGCATATCATAAAGCATTGTCTCGTGAAGACAAATGATGCAACAGTTTTTGCTGAAACTAAGCAGATAATGGTCATTCCATAAATGGCAGGTCACTTGCAAATTCCGTATACATTGCCTTGTATACCACAGAACAAAGATGGGATATTAATAAATATGATTAACATTATTTTCAAACATTACAGCATTACATATTTCTTAGGTGCAGGAAAAGAAATATTAATTTCCACACTATTCTCTCTCTAGTTATTTGATGAATTGTCTTCCAAATACCTAAAGCAGTGATCATCCATATGATTTAAATGATCATTTAATTCTCCAAAGGAAAAGCATGAATTAAATCAAATTTGCCACTGATAGTCCTTAAAAAAAACAGTGAAAAAGTTTACAGTTCAGCATTATACTTTACAACATCAGGAAGGATATTCTTTCTGTAAAATTGAAAATATATGGATCTTTAATAACTTTTGAAATGATACATAATAATACTGATATAAGTGTCAAATTCCCATGGTTGGGAATGATATGAACTAAATGACACAAATATTACATGAATGTAACTTGCAACAATCTTCTGAATTCAAGAATGACAAGATCCTCTTTTCAAATAGCACAAAATAAGATTTCATTGTCTCTATACAGACAAAATCACACATATGTTTTCCTTGAGGTCTCTTACAACTGGATTTTTTTCCCCATTCCCTCAGAAATTTGTATTCATAGATCAACATTTAAGTTTTGTTTAGTATTTCAACTACTGGTTAATTTCTTAGCTTTGAATGAATAATACCACACTGTGAATATCTTTCTGTCTTTGTTGTGGAAAGTTAGCTTGGCAAGTGAATGAACTATAGTTCAATGTATTTGTGTAATGTCTTCCACTAATAATCTATTTTCAGGAAATATGTTTCTTCTTCCCCTTTCAGGTTTTATGATTAAAAAATGAAATGAATGTTCATGTTTGATCTGTAGGCAAGTGATGCAACAATCTTAGTATAGAATTATACTTAATATAGAATAGAATTAATAAGTTTGTTATTTAATTATAATGATTAAAAATAAAGTATTTTATCACTAAAAATGGATTTAGATTATTAAAAATCTGATTTAAATTAAAATATCAAATTTTCTGTACAATCATTCATTTTGTTTAGACAATATCCCAGACAGTGGAAAAGAAATAGTCAAATACTATAGTGAACTGAGGAGGCCCTATGAGTGTTTCCCCCTATTCTGTTTTACAGTCATAATTGCTATCAATCAGTCTTAAGTAATTGGTGTAGCAGATCTAATGCAGAGAAAAAGACATAATAAGACAATGAGCAATAGCTTCTTACAAATAGCATAATCCAACGTCTGTATCTAGTCATTTTTTCAGTGTTCAAAGAAGAAAATAAGAAGAAGACGTCATGAGTTTATAACTCATAATACTTCAATTTGGATTCAAGAGAAGCTCAGGAAAAAATCAGTGAGGGAAATCAGAAGACAAGCATGAATCTGCACAACAGGATCTTTCTTCCCTCCTCTAGTATTGCCTAATTATTCTGTCAGCAAAGTTCTGATCATAGCAGCTCTTCATCTTCACTCTAGAATCCTCAGCTGCCTCTACTCTTCAGAACCCAGAAAAAGAACAGGATGCAGTAAATCACCATCTCCATCTGTAGCTTCTTTAGAAGAAGTGGTTACCTTAAGCTCTTCCCCAAAGACTATCTGGGAAACCATTAGCAGCAGAGCTGATTGGCCCCACAAACCATGGTAAATGTAGAATGGTATAAAGTTGCTTCACTGGGAAAATTATACCAGCAGTGGAGAATCCATGGCTGTCCAGATGTTGTTAAAATGCAAGGACATGTCATTACATCCTTCACCACTGGCCATGTTGTATGGAATTGGTAGGACTTGTGTTTCAGCAGCATCAGGAGGGCCAGAGGTTCTCAACCCATTTTCGAGGAGCTGATATGAAGTAGAAGCCAGGGATTGCATTACTGTTAATTAAATAGTTAACGTTAAAT